GATGGCCTCCAACCTACAAGCGATGGCCTCCAACCTAAGACCGATGGCCTTCAACCTAAGAGCGATGGCTTCCAACCTAAGAGTGATGGCCTCCAACGTACTAGCAATGGCCTCCAACCTAAGACCGATGGCCTCCAACCTACTAGCAATGGCCTCCAACTTAAGACCGATGGCCTCCAACCTACTAGCGATGGCTTCCAACCTAAGAGCGATAACCGCCAACCTAAGAGCGATGGCCGCCAACTTCTTAGCGATGTCCTCCAACCTGTTGCATTGGAATTCCAAAAAAATTTGTTTCCCATCACAAGCGGACAGTCGAAATTTGTCCTGGAAAACCGGTCGCAACCAAACCCTGAGGCGGAGCTGCGCGGAGCTACGTGAAGCGGTGAGCATGAAAACAACTCGAGAGGCCTTCCTGCTACTAGTGACAGGGACGCTACTAGGGGCTCCTGGCATCGCTACTAGGAGCAAGGACGCTATGAGGGGCTCCTGGCATCGCTACTAGGAGCAAAGACGCTATTAAGGGCTCCTATAGGTGTTTATCTTTTTTCTTTCCTTCTCGTCAGCGCCTGTAAGCCACCAAATCAGCGCCTCCATTGTCACTGGGCGGTTCCCACTCCAGCACCAAGGCCTACCAAAAAGCGCAAACAAACATGGAACAAGCAACCAGCAACACGCATGCTGCAACACACATGGCAGGGGCGGCGACAGGGTCCCCCCTGGCACCATCCACCCGAAGCATTGTGAACTAACAGGCGGGCAAGGCAAAGATGTCTTGAGTTGTTTTTGATTTGTTCAGTTGTTTTTGTCTTGGAGGCCATGGCTAGTAGGGTGGTATTTTCAGTTCCTCACGGCTCTCTTTAAAGAGTGCACATCGACCTGGTTGACCTGAAGACGTGCTGGGAAGGTTGAGGCATATAAAATGAAATTCACCGTGAGCGAGAAAATGAAAAAGATAATAGGGAAAGCACAGAAGCAACAGAGAAAGCATAGAAATGTTCTACTTTGCAAAGGTGTGCCCAATGAAAAGATATGTGCAACATATAATCGAAAAGACTCAGGCGAGGGCATGCAACATTTAGGCGATGCGATGTGCAAAAAAATCAATCTGTCGTGGCAGGCGCAGTGCGTTGGCAAAAGTAGTGCAGATTTCGGTTGGGGGGTAGGGCGCAGTGCTTTTCCGAGCGAGCCGTATCAGCCACCAGACTCAGAAGGAACCACGAAGTAAATCGAAAACTGCAAACCGCATTGCCGAAAGTTTGGATCCTCTGATCCTGTTCCTTTTGATCTACATGCTGTCCTTGACCGGTTCAAAGAGCGAACTTGTATCATGAGTGACTATATGTGACATCCTGTGTCTAACATGGAAGGGTGCGGTGAAATAGCTGACAATGCATTGCTACTAGGAACAAGAACGCTACAAGGGGCTCCTGGCCATACTACCAGGAACAAGAAGCTACTAGGGGATCCTGGCATCGCTGCTAGGAGCAAGAACGCTACTAGTTGGGTGACGCGGAGGAAACTTGCAAAGTGAAAGTGCTTCCAATCACTCAGCAAAAATGCGCCGCTGCCTGCTCTTCGCCCTCAGTGGCACCTCGAGCTGCCCCACAAAGGCCTGGTGAAATAGGACCTGTCTGCCCCATGACCTTGGAGCAATGAGCAACGTGCAAACTGAAACTTACTAGTAACAAGTGCATCGCTACTAGTAGCTTCCTACCCCCCCCAACATACACAAAGACGCACAGACTGAGACAGTGTCGACACCTATCTCACATGTCTCCCCTCCCATTTCGCTCGGCCTCAGCTGCCGGGCCAGCGCCAGCCTTGTAAAGGGCGTGACTTGGAGAGATCCACAGAGTCCCAAGGCACCCGATCAATCAACCCAACCCACGACCACGGTGCTCCGCACCTCATTCACGGCCCAAACGCGAATCACATACACCTTGGATCTCTTGACGAGCCTCTTTCCATTAGCAACAAGGACGCTACTAGGGGTTTCCTGGCATCGCTACTCGGAGCAAGCTTCGCTACTAGTAACGCATCCGCGAAAAAGATCTCATGAAATCTGCTGACAATCGAATCTGCTGACTGCCACAAGTCAATGGCAAGCAGCTGTATTGCCAGACAGGTGGGTCAAAGTTGCACCAGGCTCGCTTGATGCCGGAGCACTGGCAGTCCTGGAATTTCACTTGGTCCGTTTCTTCTCTGTGCAACTTAAGAGCAAACTATATTAAACTGGTTGGTGTTTTCAACTCCTTGACAAATATTAGTCAGTGGGCTCAATCGTCCCAAGTAAAGGTTGAAAATAAAAATTTCCAAAACAATCACCGAATCCCCTAGTAAACCTTTCTTCCTCTTCTTTGTTTCTTTGTTTCTCATAGCGATGGCCTCCAACCTCCTGCTGCGGATGCTGTTCTTTCTGCCAGCGCACTTTTCACGCGAGCTACGTGTTCCAAATGCTTGCGAGAAGCTGCGAGACAAGGAAAAACCTCTATTTGAGCAGAATTTGCAGTGCAGTGCCTTGCAGCGGCATTTTGAAGATTGATCCCGATTAGAAAAACAGCATTTTGCATGAGGCATTTTCTCTCCCACAGCCTCGGCGTCAATCCCGGTCCTTTTTCCACTTCATGTTTAACGACGGATGGTCAATTGACTTAAGCGGCATTTCTTGTAATCACCAACCGCGAAGCTTAAGTTTCTTCAGCCATGAATACGGCTTTGGAGCAAATCGGGGCAGGTCTTGGAGCAGGCTCCAAAGCAAGTTCCAGAGGTTGCGGAGTACGTTTCCACACCAGGTTCGCGAGCTGCTTCCTTGAAGAAGCGTGAGCCATCCTGCGCCCTAGCTGGGAGCGTCATAGTTGCAGGTAGCGTGTCTACTCACTTACTTCCTTACTGAATTAAGTATCTGCCCACTTAATTCAGTAGTAGGAGGGCAAAGCGGGCCCAGCCAAAACAACATGTCTCTCACCTTGGATCTGAGTAATGCTGAACAGTCATGACTCATGTTACTAGTAGCAATGCACTTGTTACTAGTAGCATCTAGCTAAGTAATGGCCTCCAACCTGCTAGCGATGGCCTCCAACCTAGGTAGCTTCTAGCTACTAGTAGAAATGGCCTCCAACCTACTAGCGATGGCCTCCAACCCAGGTAGCTTCTAGCTACTAGTAGTATTGGCCTCCAACTTACTTGCGATGGCCTCCAACCTAGCAGCTTCTAGCTACTAGTAGCAATGGCCTCCAACCTACTAGCGATGGCCTCCAACCCAGGTAGCTTCTAGCTACTAGTAGTATTGGCCTCCAACCTACCAGCGATGGCCTCCAACCTAGTAGCATCTAGCTACTTGCAGTAATGGCATCCAACCTACTAGCCATGGCCTCCAAACTAGTAGCTTCTAGCTACTAGTAGTAAAGGCTTCCAACCTACTAGCG